TCAAATATAACTAATAATCTAATAAATTTTATATCTTTATAGTGAGATTACTTATACTTGTATATCAATAATAATGACATCACCGTTACATTTAAAATTTTTCGTAAAATTTTCATAGATAATATGATTTATAATAATCTTTTCATTTTCAATCAAAATAACCATTATTATTCTCATAATTTTTAAAATGTCATTAACATTTCACTTTAATAATATTTTTGTAATTTTTTTTATTTAAAATATTTTCTTTATATTTACAAAAAAAAAAAAAGCCAAAAATCCAGGGGCCACGTGACCCCCTAGTCCTCACTTCCCTCTGTCACTGGGTGGAAGAAGTGTATTTGGCCAACTTTGCTTACGCCTACATGCCATAGTTGGAGAGTTCATGGAGAGAGAAGAAAACAATTTGTCATGATCAATTGGATAATGATAAAATTATAACATTGAGAAATATGTTAAAATGGTAATGAACAGAGTCGATTTTATCTTTCACCTGTGTCGTTGTCATTGTCACAGAATTCCCACAATAGTAGGAAGAAGAAGATGGTTTTTCAGGAAGCACAAGCTACATTACAGATGGGTAAACAATTGGGAATGAGCTGCGAAGGGATGGAGAAAGAGGTGATAAACAAATTAGTAGAGTTGGAGAATCAAGATACCGAGAGATATGCTAGGATTGATAAAGGGGGGACGAAGGGGCAGCTCTAGCTGGCCGAAGCATGAGCGGTGGTATGGGTGTACAATCAGTCTCATGAAGATTATGGCTTGGAATGTCAGAGGGTTGGGAAGGCAGGAGAGGATGTGCCGAGTTAGAAATGTAATCAAGGAAAGAAGAGTGAATGTTATGCTGATTCAAGAAACTAAACGAAGTTGTGTAGATGAGCAATTTGTTGAGTCCATTTGGCCATGGGATAGGATGGAATTTATAGCTGTTGATGCTGATGGGAGTGCTGGGGGTTTGTTGAGCATTTGGAACCCTGACATGTTTATAATGTTAGAGTGCTGTGGGAATAGGAATTTTTTGGCTATATCAGGTACAACTCTTGGTTCTTTTGATTGTGTGTTAATAAATTTATATGCCCCCGAATGATGTAGTGAAGAGAGCAAGATTATGGGAGATCATCATTGGGTTGAGAGTGCATTTTCAAAATCCTTGGTGTATGGGTGGGGATTATAATGAAGTCAGAAGTATAGCAGAAAGAAAGGGGTGTTCCAGGAGAGATAAAGGGATGCATGATTTCAATAACTTTGTTGAACAATTAGAGTTGGTGGACTTACCAATGTTGGGTAGGAATTTTACATGGTCTAATTCAATAGATGGGGGAAGATGGAGTAAAATAGACAGATTTTTGATGGACCTTGTTTGGTTAAAAAAATTCAGATTCAAGTTATGGGGTTTGCCTAGAAATATATCTGATCCCTGTCATTTGTTGTTAATGGAAGATGAGAGAAATTGGGATCCTAAACCTTTTAGGTTTATCAATGCTTGGACTTTACATCCAAATTTCAGAGCAGCAGCACACACTACTACAAAAATAGTTAAAGATCACACTTTAACAAAAAAAAACATACATCACACCAAAAAAGTGTGATCTTTATCTATATTTGTAGTAGTGACAAAAGATTTGGGCTGGATCACAGGTGCAAGGGTGGATTGGGTACAAGCTTAAGACGAAACTCTTTGATCTCAAAGTTGAGTTGAAAAGGTGGAATATTGAAGAGTTTGGAATAGTGGAGGATCAGTTAAAGAAAGCAAAGGAGGAGCTTCATGCATTGGATCTAGTGGCAGAGTCAAAAGAACTGGAAATTAATGAAATAGCGGCCAAAAGGGAGGTCAGAAGCTTGGTATGGAAGTTATGTAGAAAAAAGGATTGGATTTGGTTCCAGAAGTCCAGGTTAAATTGGGATCAATGTGGTGACAAAAATACCAGGTACTTTCATATTATAGCTAGTAAAAGACAAAGAACGAATTTAGTTGATTCAGTATTAGTTGATGGGGTTAGTGTTGAGGACCCTGGGTTGGTTAGACAAGAAATGTTGCAGTATTTTTCCAAAGCATTTTCTGAAGATGGGAAATCTAGGCCAAAGCTGGTAGGAAACTTTGCTTCAGTTAGTAGATCAAAGGTGGTGGAGGTGTTGGAAGCAGAGTTTACAAGGACTGAGATATGGGAAGCTGTGAAAGATTGTGATGGTAATAAGGCACCAGAACTGGACAGTTTTAACATGATTTGTATTCAAAAATGTTGGAAGTTTATGCAGAGTGATGTGGTCCAGTTTATGCAGGATTTTTACTCCAATAGTAAGCTGGTCAATGGGCTAAATAGTTCATTTATAACCCTTATACCGAAGAAGTTATATCTCGAAGGATTGGCCGATTACAGGCCTATAAGTTTGATTGGAGTGATCTATGAAATTTTGGCTAAGGTTTTACCAAAAAGATTGAAAAAGTTTTACCAGAGGTTATTAGTGAAGTGCAAACAGCTTTTCTGGGTGGTCGGAATATCTTTGATGGAGTAATGATCGCTAACGAGGTGGTAGATTGGTGGAAGAAGTCAAAAAGGAAGGGAGTCATACTCAAACTCGATTTCAAAAAGACCTATTGTCACGACCCAAACCCGCCTCTAAGGGTTTAGTATCGTAACCAGCCAGTAATCCGTGATTACCAAAGGTCTGCTTAACAGTAATGACAGTAATACAGAGCAAGGGGCTGGCGGAAGCCAAACAGTAAATAAAAGATGTCCAATGAGCTGTGAAAATCTGAATGGAAAAAGACTTTTATGGACTAGTCCACATCATAACCATTAACATATATGCATATCAGATGCACATAACATACAGGTTAGGGATCCAAGCCCTTCACCACAACTGTACACAGTCAAGAGTCTTAAGCATTCATTACAAAATAGAGCCAAAATGGTGAATCTGAAACCCCTCAAAAACAGCCTTGGCTTGAACAGACTTGGGACCTCGAAGTGAGGCACAACGGTTGACTTGACAAAACGTGAGCTTAACCTGACGCTTATAGCTTCGATCCGGTGCCTGGCCACCTATATATATATATATATAAACAGTGAGCTAAAGCCCAGTGAATAACAACTGTGTAAAGGGGTTAAGAATGAATGTTCTCTCAGTAATTAAAACAGTCATTTGCATCAGTAGATCAGTTATTCAATCAGTGGCTCATATTTCATGCCATATCAATCAATTAGAAATCATAACAATCATATGTGGTACATCCAATAGTAAAACAGTACAGTAGGTCTTAATAGACCGAGCAGTCAGTTGATGGCCATCAAACAGTAAACAGTAGTAGTTTCAAACGTTGGAACTGACAAAGATCTCTGTAATAGTAGTAGTAACAGTAACAGTAACAGTAACAGTAAATTGCTATGGATGCCACGAGTACAGTTTACAACTAGGACAAACATTCATTCAGTAAACAATGTTATTTCAGAAAGCAGTACAGTCAATCGTTCAGAAATAATTATAATTGAACGTATCTTTAGAATATTGTTACTCACAGATTACTGGGCTATAGGCAGGCTAATCAGCGTCCTCGGATGCCAACCCTATATAGTTGCAGAAAGAACACACACTAAGTACACACTCAGGATTAATAACTTAGCCCCTAATTGGCTTTGTGTGGTTCTATAACATTATCATCATTAAGATGCCTTAAACATGGCCTATGAATGCCTAGGATGGGATGATGATGCAAAAGTGTACTTTAAAATACTTTTCAAAATTTGCTGAAAACAGGGGTCTTGCTCGAGCGTGGCTTTTCCCGCTCGAGCGAGCTTACCAAAACAGAGGGGTCGCTCGAGTGTAGACTCCCTCGCTCAAGCGGTCTGTAAAAATGCAAAAAAGTACTGGTTGCTGAAAATCTTTGCTCGATGCTCGCTCGAGCGTGAGACACAGTTCCTCGCTCGAGTGTGGATCTCGTCTCTCGAGCGTGCATCTGCACGTGCACAAAAAATCTGAGAGCTTGCAATCTACAGTCGAGCCAACATTCCGTTGCTCGAGCGGAGCTCTGAACACAAAGGTGGTCGCTCGAGCATGGAATCCTTCGCTCGAGCGTGGAAGTCAAAATCTGGGTTTTCCAGATTTACTTCCAAAGCTCAAACCAAGAATTAAACATGCCAAAATTCATCCTTTTGGGCTAATTTTCTAGAAAACACTAAGAAACTCGTAATACAACATGTTTTGAAGATCATTTTATGAAATCAAAGCCCAAAAGTATGTCAATTGAACACAATTCCAATGAAACTTTCAAGAATAATGCAAGAACATAACATGCATGAGTTCTCATGAACTCTAATGCTCCAAAACATGATCAAATGCAAGATTGAACTCTAAAACATGGTGAATTCTTGAACCACAACTAAAATATGAACATGCGTGTATGATTTTCATGAAAACAACCTCAAAATGGACATGCATATGATTTTCATGAAAACAACCTCAAAATGGACATGCATGCATGAATTCACTCTCAAATCAACACTTTGAGCTAATTCTTGACTCTAATCACCAATTGAACATAATTTCAATGAAACCTTCATGAACAATGCATGTAACACCTTAAATTCATAATCAAGAGAATGAATTTCCTACCTTAAGTCTTGAATTCCAAATGTGTTAGCCCAATTTTGCAAATCCTCTTCAATTCCTCTAAATTCAAACAAAATTCTTGATGAACTCTATTTTTCTTCCAACTCTCTCTCTCTCTCTCTCTCTCTCTCTCTCTCATGCGTAAATTTCGTAAGTGGCGTCGCTCGAGCCCAGCTTCCGTCGCCCGAGCCAACCTTCCTTCACTCGAGCACACAAACTTCCTTTCCAAAACTTTTGCAGACATAGACAACTTTTGGAAGCAGGACTTCTTCGCTCGAGCCAGGACATCTTCGCTCGAGTGAGCAAGACAAAACAACCAGGAACCTTACAACTCGATAAACATTGTTTGTTTGTGGTATTGACAAAACTAAGGGACCTAACATGCACCTATGACACCCGGTCAACTAGTGAAATGGTGTGGTTTAGGAGGGAACTACAAAGCTAATTACGATAGGTCTGTGAAGACGAAGATCAACAAGGATCGTATTGGTGTTATTGTACATGATCACCAGGGCCTCGTCATAGCGGTTTTATCTGAGGGGCTGAGGCATTGGGTAAATGTTGATTGTGTAGAAGCCATGGTTGCATTCAAAGCAGTCCAATTTGTGAAGGATCTAGGTTTAGAAAACATCTATTTGGAGAGTGATACAACAAATGTGATCAAAATGATTAATGACCCAGGTGATGCTATCTCTCAATTTGGACACTTAGCTCATGGTGTCCATGATTTACTGAGAAGATTTCGATCTACTACTGTGTATCATGTTTTTAGGAAGGATAATTCTGTTACTCATTGCTTGAGTATATTAACATTTGATTGTGTTGGGCCAATGATTTGGATGGATGAGGCTTCACCAACATTGGTTCATTTGATTTTGTCTGAAGGTTCTCAATCTTAATAAATTACCTCACACTTTTTAAATTAAAAAAAAAATAAACTTTTCAAGGTGACCACATTTTTATTATAAATGGAAAGTTATCTCTAACTAAATAATTTAAATAATAATGTTACATGGATTACATTTAGGTATCATTTCATGTGTCATTATGGTCTTAAGTTAAATATTACCTACCATTTATATGTTACCAATACAATAATTAAGCAATACAAACAAGAGATATCCAGCTCAATCCACTGAGGCCACTTCGGGCTCGCTTCGACAATCCGAACCAAATTGTGATGAGCACATTATTCATATCAAAAATTATTTTTATGAATATTAATATCAATTTGATCGGATCATATTTGTCTAAAAAATTGACAAATTATATGATTTTGAAGAAATCTGTTTATTTATTTATCCTTTAAACAATTGTGATCTGATTAAATAGTTACTGATAATCAATCAAATTGATTTTTGCTAGAAATAATGTATTCAATGGATCCCACAAAATAAATAGTTCGAATCGTCCAAGCTAACTTGAGGTATGCCCACAATACATAGGACTAGATCTTTCCAGTCCAATTGGGGACTAGAGAGAAGCTTATCCCATACAACAATAATCCAAAAAATAATACTACTAATATATTAGTGACATGAATGTGTTCATGCTAGTTAAGTAGTGGTGGAGATATGGGGTGGAAGATAATTCATTATGGAAGGAAATTATTATTAGCAAGTATGGGGCTAAAGGGGGGAGGTGGTTACCAATGCAGCGAGAGAATGGTAGTGAATCTAATACGTGGAGTGATATTTTAAGTGTGGCAAAATCTATTCCTGGTTTGCTGGAGTTTTTTCTTTCGAAGTTCCAAATTAAGTTTGGAAATAGGAACAGGGTTGCATTCTGGCATGACAGATGGATGTTGAATGTACAGCTTAAAAAGGAGTTTCCTAGGTTATTTATGCTATCTGTGGAAAATGAAGGCACTCTGAGTTCTTTTATGCAACGGAGGGACAGTTTTGGGGTTTGGAAGCTCTTGTTTAGAAGACCCCTACTTCCCTGGGAGGAATGGGAGGTCATAAGGTTGCACGAAGTAATTAGAGATGTTCCTTGCATTAATTTGGAATTGCAGGACTCAGTAAGTTGGGCAACATCTTCCTCAGGTGTTTTCACGGTGGCCTCTTTAAGAAACTGGCATGAGACTACTCAAGGTTCTTCATTACAAGTTCTTAGGTTGCTTTGGAATAATGTGGCTCCTCCAAAAGCTCAATTTTTGAGCTGGTTGGCGTAGAGAGAGAGGGTCAAAACCTCAGATATGATGGTCAAATTTGGGGTGCTAAGTCCAACAATGGTAAATGAATGCCCCTTTTGTAAAAATGAAGCATAAATTGTGGATAATCTCTTTGTGCTCTACCCTGAGGTGTGGAAGGTCTGGTCTAAGTTGTTGCTATGGTGGAGGTTAAACTAGGCAACACCTGCTACTGTGGTGAGTCTGTTGCTATGGTGGTTGGGAACAAAATTCAAAAAGCTGGTGTTGAAGATATGGAGGCTTGTTCCAATTGCAATGCTTTGGTCAATATGGCGACTTAGAAATGAATGTGTTTTCAATGGGAAACAACACAATATGGAAGAGCTGGGTGAGATAGTTAAGGTGCAGATTGGGTTGTGGGTGAAGTATAATCTGCCTAATATACATTATTCAGTGCATGATGTTATGGAAAATTTGAATCAGATTAGATTGTGTTTATGAATGGTTGGTATGTTTTCTGTGTAGGCTCTATTAGGTAGTGAAGGATGGTCTCAGTGGGGGATTTGGGTGGGGGCTGGATGGTATCCATTAATCTCCAGTTAAAGCTGCTCTCCAGTTGAAGCTGCTCTCCAGTTGGGTGTAGGCTCTATTTCGTTGTTGCTGATCTCTAGTTGAAGCTGCTCTATTTCTGTCACAACCCAAACCCGCCCCTGTAGGTTTAGCACCGTAACCGGCCAGTAATCCGTAGATTACCAAAGGCTTTTGAACATATTAGCAAATAATAAGGGGCTGCGGAAGCAATAATACAAAATAGACAAGGTCCAATGAGCTGTGATAACGTACATGGGACAGAACATTTCAAACCTTATTTATATATACATAAACATGCCAGTCCAGATACACAATATTCACAAGGTATTTACAGAATGTACTTCCCAAGACTTTACTTTACAGAGCATACATAAAGACTAGCATGATTACAAAAGCAGCTATAGCTTTAGGCTTCGTTCGGAACCTCCTCGGGAGGCACAACAGTTGGCTGACAAAAAAAAAACAGAAGGCCGTCAACTCTGGCCCTGGTCACGTGCCGGCTCACCTACATACATAATATAAACTGTGAGCGAAGCCCAATGAATAAATAACAGAGTAAAGGGGTTATATGAATGATGTCCAGCACAAGTTAGAATCTAGCATTTAAATCAGAGCATAATCAGACTTCAAACAGAAACAGATTCATATATATTTTCATATTCAAATTTTGCATAAGATCATACGTGGTACACCCATTAGCTATCAGATCAGATTGGTCTAGAGACCCACATATATAGTTGGTACCAACGACTACAAAGGTCCATATCTTACGCGCAAGTAGCCATGGTATTGTTACCCTCAGGGAAGGGCCACGTGCAGATTGGCCGCGGTATTGTTACCCCCGGGCGAGGCCCACATGCAGATTGGCCACGGTATTGTTACCCCCGGGCGAGGGCCACGTGAACTAAAGGTGCCACAATTACTTTTCAGAAAATTGGACATTCATTCATAATTCGTAAGATAGCATTTCAGAAAACAGATCATACAATACCAGTCAGAAAATACTTAAGTTGGACATAACTTTACAGAGTTATTACTCACAGTGGGCCTTGAGACAGACATACGGAGTAAACTTGGTCAAACAGTACGTGGCACGTGACCTACATAACACATAACAGATACACACTTGAAACACACGATCTAACTACACAAAACTTATTTCATTGGCTCTTAATGTGTTTCTAATCTCTTACCCTCACTACAGAGTCTTAAACATGGCCTAGGAATGCCTAGGATGGAATGAGGATGCAAAAATGTACTTTAAAACACTTTTCAAAATTTTCAGAAAATAGGGGTCTCGCTCGAGCGTGGCTTTCTACGCTCGAGCGGACATGCAGACAAAGGATCTCCGCTCGAGTGTGACTTCCTTCACTCGAGCAGACTGTAAACTATAGTAAAAGTACTGGATGCACAAAAATCACGCTCGATGGGCGCTCGATTCACGCTCGAGCGTAAGACACAAGTCCTCGCTCGAGCGTGCATTCCCTCGCTCGAACGGATTGTAAACACGTGAAAAGTACTGGATACACGCATTTCACGCTCAAGCGTTACCTTCCACGCTCGAGCGGGATTCATGTATTCAGAGTGTACGCTCGAGCGTAAAGTCCTACGTTAGAGTGTACGCTCGAGCGTAGTGGGTCCAAAATCTGGAATTTTCAGATTGAACCTCCAAGCTTAAAACCAACTTTTAAAGCATCAATTTCGATTCTCTTGGGCTAATTTTCTGGAAAACTCTTGTAAACTCATAGTATGACATGTTTTGAAGATCAATTTGCTAAATCAAAGCCCAAAGGTAGTTCAATTAAACACAATTTCAAGGAAAACTTCAAGAACATAAGTTAAATGTATTATGTAAGAATCTCCTAGAAACCAAACCCTCCAAAACATGATCAAACTTGATAATTTGATGGACAACAAGATGCATGACCACAATGAGAGTGAAATTAACACATGCATGGAAGAAATCTTAGAATTCAAACTCAAAACATGGAAATGTATGCATGCATGCATGAATTACTACTCAATTCAACCTTTAGAACCAAAACTTGACTTTAGACACTAATTAACCATGAACCATGAAAGAATTTATCTGAAATTCACAATTGAAAAGGACATCTCCTACCTTAAGTCTTGAATTCCAAGTCTAGAAGCTCAAATTTCTCACTCTCTCTCTCCCTCTAACCCACGGTTTGGACAAGAAAAATGGCTAAGGAAGGATGTTTCTAAGTGTAATGAAGTTGGTCTCAAATAAGTCACTAAGTGGCATTTGTGTAATAACTCAAAC